ATCCTGGGTCGTGAGTCGCCTGGGCCAATAAAAAGCCTTCCATCCCTCCGGGGTCGGTTAATTGGTACCAGACTTGTCTGGGAGGATAAAAACACTGACTTGTACATCGGCTGGCCCCCGCAAGTCATTGTATAGGCCACATCGCATTCAAACGCCACTACGAATGTACAAATGGAAGTAGAATGCGTGCCGCATCCCAAAAAGGGATTGATCAACGGCAAATGCTTTATCCTTTATCCTTTAACGTTAACTCGTGCAGTTGCATATGAAAATGGCAGTAATTCCCCAAGTGAGCGTATCAGTGCGTAAAGATAAAAGTCATATATAAAGAAAAAATTCTCGATGGAAAATACGATGAATGCAACACGACACATAGAACATCAAAAATTCACATAATGTATTGAAATTGAAAGTAGTCGGTCAAATGACTCCGACTGTGGGCCAAGTACGCGTCATGCGCCAGTGCATGTGTTGACGCTTCTCGCACTGTCCGCACTAACCGCACTAGCAGTGTCCACGTCGGTTCAAAGCATGAAAAGGGCCCAAGGGATGTGGTCAGACCACATCCCATCGCTTCTCCTCCAACAACATCCCTAAATTGCCTCCGCTTCCCAGCCGCAGTCATTGCATTCAAAGCAACAACTCCAGATCAAATCGGTCGGTAACTGCTGTGGATAATGAAAATATGGATGCAGAACTGACAAACTGACGAAAACAAAAAAGAATCAAAGCATACCTCCATTGAAGCCATTAATGGGTATCCCCTCTCTTCCTCCTTGAAATAAGGAGGGGCGGGGCCGGACGAGTTTTCTGAACTTGCTTGCTCCATGGCTCCACTAACCCGCGCGTATTTGAATTAGCCGCTACGCCGTAATCCACGCTGCGTATCACGGGGTGTGCACGAGGATCTCGTCCAAGAGTTCACGTTAGTCACCATCAGACCACTTTGTAAGAAACATTGTCGCGCACTTTAAAGACGCGCAACGGCGCATCTGTGGTCTAATATCTAGTAGGCTACCCTATCCCACACACAATAGGTTCTTCGACACAACCTCATCTGGGGTTGTTGCTTTAAATACAAGTGTTACACATAGTATATGGCTTAGAAACTGTCGTCAATCACGATTTTTCTGTGATCTTCCTCGGGAAGCGAATTTAAAGAAATTGCTTAAGGAACAAGACTAGGAAATTTTTCAGTTGGAGCAGTACATAAAATTGCTTCAGGGGCTCCGGAATGTCGAACAGCTCAGCATCACTACACATACACGAGACGAGAATGACGTTTGAGGCAATGATACACGATCAGGTGGATGTTGAAATATTCGTATGATGGTGATGTGGATGGTTGGAGGTCTTCGATATGATGCATTCTACTTCAGATGTTTTTGGAGTCCCCAATTTCGGATTTTCTGATGAACGCACACTAGAACACATCACGTCAATGCACTGACTGCACATGCACCGCCTTCTTGTTACCTATTTACATTTTTACGGGATTTATGTAGACCTCATCGGCTTGGCCCTCGGCCCTGCAACATTCTAGCCCGGGTACTGTGCGGTAGACGCGTTAT